ACTAATCCTCAGAAGGAGGGAAGGATGAAAGTAATGTCAGCAACGCCACCACAAATGAAACTTCAAGAGTCTAAAGCCCTGTATTTTACTGAAGACTCAGAAGAATGAAAATGTTAGGTATATTGTAAGAGTGGTCATCATATATTTATTTACTGAATTGAATCATGATACGTGTTATGCAGATGACCAGTAGTTCAGCGAAGAGTCTGTTTTCAGCGAATTCATTTTCATAGCGCTACAATCGCAAATATACATATATATAGTTGTTTTGTAGGTGTGTATACACTAAATTTGTTAAATGAAAGTGAAATTAGTAAGTTCTGTAACCACACTGGCTAGTGTTCTTTGATCCTTTTTGACAGGAAGCAGTGGTCCGATAAGGAGTGCAATAATCGAACATCTCGTCACCAATGGTCATTCCATCTCAACAAACGCCTCCTTCAAAGTAATCTACAAAGTAAAGAACAACCTGCCAAAAGCAATACGTCTCCATTTTCTTTGTATTGCAGAAGCCCCAGTCATTCCGTTAGAAGAACCAGAACTATGCCTACAAAAGAAAATAATTTAGCCACTTCTTATATCATGGCAACAACTCTGTCGATTTTACTTAACTTTCGCTTGCTTGCTTGCTTATTTTTTCTAACTACTTAAAACTCTTACGTAATTCCGTATGTTATTTCGTTTCTATATACACCCTGAGCACAACTCTCTCATCAAACTATTCATGTTATTACATAACTCTCCTTGAGCAACCGATTGTGACAACTCATCACATTTTTTCTACCCTGTGCGTCGGTGGCACAGTGATTATGACTCTCGCCGACCATGCACATGGTCCGGGGTTCAATCCCCGGCCGACGCACACCTCTGATACCTATGGTTGGCCTGCAAAATTTGGGCTACGATATCGCATGCTGAAAATTCCATACCTGTACAAAAAATACGGTGTGGAATCAAGCTATAGTAAAAAAAACAGCATCCAATTCCTCTGAACGCCTTTTATATTACGTAACTCCACCCAAAACTTACTAATTGTATTTTCATTTGACAAATTTAATGTACACACACCATATATATTTGCGATTGCACAGCTATGAAAATGAATTCGCCGGAAATAGACTCTTCATTGAACTACTTGTCTTCTCTCTATTAATGTTCGAATGGAGATTTTTCATGAATTATGCAGATAATACAGAATGTGGAATTGCATTGCTTAAAACTTGAGGAACAAGGAATTAATGAATTGCCGAAGTAATATTGATAAAAATAAAACTAATAAATTACATCTGCAACTCGATCTATGTGTTCTTTTCAGTAGTATTTTGATTGATTCTCATGAAAAACCATACAGCTTGGAGGTTCGAATCTGTGCCTACCAGTATTTTAAGTTGAGACGTTACAATTGAGCTGTCCTGGTGAATGCCACCAATCAAGTGACATCACTTCAAAGTCCATTGCGATGGTAAGTCACCTAGTTTTGTGACAGTACTGCAAACTAGGATGATGGAATTCAGTCAACATCAGGACTGAAGGCTAAACACCTAACATTAGTTATTTCATATTGACCAGTCGGTGTATTGTAGCTTAAATTGGTGTTTCAGATATCTTCCACTTACAATTGGTTTCTAACATGAAATCGAGAATCAGCCGGATCTCTGTTGGTTTAGCCGCTGTATCTTAATTAGATTTCTTTTTAAACAAAAAGACAACTTCTAATTCTCGCCATTCATATCTGCTGTATTTAAACGGATCTATGTTAAATTGAAATTCAATCCCTAGAAAATACTATTAATAATTTATAAACATATGGTTATGTAATGATGTAGTTATTTGTTCTTATTCTAACTCTTTTTATTTTTGTTGTGATGTTTCTACTCCTGTCGACTTAAGACCTATTTTACGTTAACAGGTGTTATCTAATCACTATTAGACCAGATGTCAAATGAATCTATCATAGTTGTTTTATTCTAGTAGACCAAACCGGAGATTTGTACAGATGAAGGTTTTTAAATTTTGAATGGTTCACTTAATTTTTTTGTCCTTATCTCGTCAAGAAAGTTCAGATAATACATATAATCTGCACGTCCAATTTTGGACCACATAGTTTGTTTAAATACCTTCCTTGGTGCATAATCAATTCTGGATAGTGTTATGATGTCATTAATCTTTCCATTATGATAATTCCTGTTTCAACAACAAAAGTTACTAGTAAAATATTTCGCACAATATTAGCTATACATATTTATTCGATTTGTGTTTTGGATGTAATGCGAACACCAGGTCAACGAAAATCGTACGTTTTACACAGTCAATTTTACTTATAATAATAAATACCATTAACACATACACAACTAGTTGTATGCTCAGAAATACAGACTGATGGTGTTTTCTTATCGCTATTTATTTCTTCTTGTTTTTTTGAGGTCCCAAGCTTTAGTAACATTAGGTGTTCAGAATGTATTCATTGAATACAAGATCACCAAAAGACTGTTTTTTATTCAATCCCATGGAGTTTATAGAAGATATGAATTAACTCTCTCTCTCTCTTTAGCCCCTTATTCTTATTCACTTTAACAGTTTCAAAGACTGGGGACTGTTGCTGATGTCTGTTTTACTGAAAATGTATCATGTGTGTGCACTGGTGGTTGAAGATCTGTTTTATTAATCGGTAAAAATTATTCTTATCTTCAACCATTAAGTTTATATTTACATTTTTAATTACTGAAATGTGTCAACAGATGTTTATTATCAGCTACGAAGAAAATAACTGACCTTGTCTCTAGGAGTTTAATACGAAATATGCAAATATCTTTTTGTGTTTAGAAATATTAACATAGCAAAAAAATGTGTGAATTCAACGTTAAAATTCAATTCTTTTAATCCCGAAGTCAAAGGTTTCATTTTCCTATTGTATGCGAAATTCACAAAACTAGCGCCTTAAACAGTAATACATGCTACTTTTAATTAAGTCATCTTATTATTCTGTCATAATAAAAAAGACATTCTTAGTGATATTACTTATTCCAGGGCAGAATATTAAAGAAGGCAAATCAATCATGTAGGACTTGAGCAGCTTAGTGATAGTATCTCTTAAGTTACCACATAGTCAGTGAAGTTTGAATGTGTCCCTAAATCATAACGTCTCTTAAAGTCTCAGTTGTATTGCAGTGTTGAGCATCAGCTCATTTGAAAATCAAGGTTTATTACTGAGTAACTTCTGATAGCCGACGTCATACTACATTGTACAGTACCATTATTCCGCTGTTAGTTTACTACAGCAGATATAATCAATACACTTCACTTAATATTGAAAACAGAATGTGTTAAGAAGCAATTAGTCAATTTGTTGTTCAGAAATATTGCACTTTCTGTACAAAATGTACAACCATGCTGAAATGATTTTTAGTACCTAAATTCTCTTAAATTGAAAACAAAAACAGACACAATTTAGAAATTAGTATTTGAGTATTTGTCACTGAAGTCATATGCATATCGCGTGAAATAGCTCCATTAAACGCAAGACGACTATATAGTCCATATTTCAAAATTTAATCAATAAAGAGAAAACTATATTATTTAGCGTAATAGGAAATAATAAATAATTATGATGTTTATTTTATCTGCTGTCAGTTTTGACTGGCCAACTCCACGACTGTGCACAAGTTTTCATTTTCCCTTCACTTCGCCTCTTTAGTGCCAACTTGCGATGACCAACTCTTCACTTCTCGTTCGGGTTCCATTCGAGGAATAAGCGTGTGATATCACTCCGGCGTATGTTGGCTGGTTCGCTGACTGCCGGAGTCTCTTGTTGCTTACCCATTTTGGTCGGACGCCCGGCCACCTGATTTTCAGTAGAGATCCATGGAAAGGGAGTAGGTGTTGATGAAAGTCTGCAGTCTGTTGAAAATGTTTCCGGTCATGTTCTCCAGGTATCTGAATCTCACAGAAGCACTGAATTGACATCAGTGTTACGTGGTGCTGTTGATCTTTCTACTAATTATTATTGCATCTAGTCTACTACACTGAACAACGCGTGGATCGAATGTCATCATAATGAATTATTCACGTGGTAAGGAAACAAATAAAATTGTAGTTATTGTCACATGGATAATGATTTAAAAAAGGTGATGGTACGACAATTTTTTGATTATAATTCTCTTCTACAATGACAAAATTAATGTACAACGCAATTTCAAGCTTAAATGGATAAATTTATTAAATTTAAATATGTGAAAATTGTGCAAAATGTTGTGGACACCGGAAGTATCAAGAATAAATTGGTTAAATAATAATAAAAAAGATATTAATTAGTAAATAATTCACTTGATTTCCTCAAATACTTTGAAAGAATATATATGTGCAACTGAAGAAGCATAATTCTGTACACACACAAATATTATAACATATAGTTGTTTGTATTGAAAGGCTAACCCGTGTACTGTAACTTTTTATAATGATTGAAAGAACAAGGTTTGTTAGAAATAAAAGGTTCTAGTTTTATGTATAATACAATAACCAATGTCATGCACTAACGCTGACGAATACGTAGTGTTGTAATGAGAAAATGATTTACGTATTGTATTAGAAATGTTTAAACACGTTATTTGAAAGCAGCTGAGTGAGATTATCCAATCAATGTGGAAAATAAAAGCTAGAGTCTATGACAAAAAGGAATAAAGAGAATCACTTTATCTATACAGTTATATATATATATATATATATATATATATATAGTCAGACTGTGTTTAAACTGGATATCGTGTAAGAAAAATACTTTAATTAACTTGAAAATGTCTACAAGTCAGGAACTTCATGTTGAAGTTAAGATTGGTTCCGAAAAAAGAACGAGATTGCACATTATTCAGGATAAGAGTTTTACAGTGATACTTATTTTGGTATACTTCTCTACATTTCTTTAAATTTTTGAAATCATAACAAAATGACAAACTTGTATTTAGCATTTTGTTCCACTGTTTTGTATTGGAAAACACCTGACGACATCAGAATTCTTTGAAGAGATTTCGTGAGGCCATGCTGGACAATGGGATTTCAGACCAGTCTTGCTCATAATACTGTTCGTAACAGCGTGTATCACCGTCACTTTGTACATTTGGTATGATTGGTGGCTAGTTAGAAAACATAAAACGATTTTTGGAAATAAAACCTGATAATAATTATTGATTAAAAAAGAAAAAGAAAACGTATTAAATTTCAACTGTGTAATTATATCTGGAACCTAAAAAGAAAGAAAGAAAGAAGTACCGCTGGAAATTCTAATACAGCACACAGTTATTTCATTTTATTCGACTGAATTCTCACCGCAAATAATGTACTGGTTTTGCTCATTGTATGTGGACGTTTAGAGGACTTTTTTGAGTGTATATCAAAACCTGTCACTTATTACCACAAATAGTGTAGTCATTACACTAATTAACCATCTCAAAGACCTTGTATAATGTCGCATTACTGAAGGAATAAAACATTAGTCTTTGGAAATCTTGCACTGGTTCCTGACCGAGTTATCCGAACTAAAGTTTGCCATCTGGTTGTTGTGTTTATTGTATATTCTGTTTTGAATAACACAAATATGTAACAAACTGTATTGGACGTTAACTGATATAGCTCACAGCGTTTCTTTTTTACTTAACAATGAAGTGAGCGCTGAAGATGTTGACTAGAAAGACAATAAAAGAGCCATTTTGCTAAGCTTAACTGGAAGAATACTTAAACTACATTATCTAATCCGGTGATAACGTAAGTGATAACAGGATCATCATAACAGCATTCAATGTGTATAAGTATTTTCAGCAAACATGAATGACAAAATAACCACTTAAAGAGAACTACTTGGTGAATGGTGACCAGCAGTGGAGTTGAGAATGCGCGTTTCGCGCGTTTTGAGACTCGTCTCCTGGATTTACTTGCAATCCTCAGTGAGTGATTGTGTTCTCATTGTGTCTCACACCCAGCAGTTATCAGTTCGCAAAGCGAAGGGCTACTCACTAGGCCACTCGGGTCACGAAACCTGTCTCTTGTAAGACGAGTACCAGTTATTGTTTGTTTTAAGTTAAATTTTGTATCTCCCGTTGTTTATATTAGACAGACATGATCGAAGGACGCGTACCAGGAGCCAACACGTCATCAGAAATCAGACGTTTCCTGTCTAACATAATCAATCAACAGGAAATAAAAATCATCCTCTGCTTTGAGTTTTGTATTCCTTCATACGCATAACTTATTGCAATTCAAGTGGTGTACAAAAAAGTTGACTTTCAATCCTGGATCAATTCACCCCACTGTTGGTAAGGTAAACTCAAAAAGGAATCTACTTTCATGTGGTAAATGGACTTCATAGGCTTATAAAATAAGTACTATTGAAACACATAAGGTATCTACAACTGAGAACGTCAGTATCATAATACATATTTGACAGACTGGCCTTTCGCCTTGCTGTCTAGTTATGTCTCGCGAAACACTTTAGACAAGCAGACATGTTCATTTTATTAAGGTTGGGACTATTACTTAACAAAACCTAGTTTTTTATTCCATTTCATCAAACTATGTCATTTATATTACAACTGGCATCAAGCATCCCAGTAACAGTAATAATAACAATAATAATAATATAAGCTTAGTTATATTCTTGGAATAAAGCGATTAACTAGAAGTAAAGAAATAAAATGATAGGTCGATTAGACCAAGTAATTTGTAACAAGAAAAGAAAGAATTTACAGCTGTTATTTTTCAAACAGCTCAGATATATTGACATATATGTGCACAGCTGATAATTTTCAATAGTTCACTTTTAAGCAGCTTACAATAAAGCATTATTGTTTTAAAAACTACGTAACCTGTTATCTGCATTTTGTATTCTTCTATGGTAAAGTAAATTATATTGACTGACCAAGTTGTCATACACACGAGTGGTAAATGAGAATTAATTATTTTTTTGACAGTACTGACTTGTTTTCACAGTTCAATCAGTAAAGAGAAAACAGTAACAAATGTCATGGGGTAAACAATGATAACCTCAAAGTATCAAGTATTTATCAGTATGAAATAACTAAATGTGTAAGTATAACACTGGCTGTATATAACCATGGCTATTTGTTCTATTTTGTCCAAATGCATTGTTACAAGTTTGTTAGAATAATAATCAGTTAGTGCACTGTAAGCCTATTTCACTTCCATTTTTCATGAGCTGATGTCAGCTCATGATGAAATCCTCTATGCAATAAAACACTAGTAAATTCTGGACTGCATTTATGATATATCTGCCATACTTTTCAACACGAAAACCTTGTTTACACTGAAGTTACAACAGTTAACACTGGTTATTAACGTTAGACTGTTTTGAGAGTGGGACGATTTTTCGAATGTTAACATGAAAGCATAACATGCATTTACTTACCAACAAAGAAATGTAAGTCATTCTACTTACAGTAGTTAGCAGTCAGTTGTAGTATATATGACATGAATACGGCCATTTTCTACGTGAACTCGAGAAGCAGTTCAAATTTGAGAACCGATATTTAGGAATGGCAAAGAACTAGTTTTGCCAAACGATAGAAAAATGGATTAAAAACTTTTCAATAGGATTTTTTTAGAAGATAGTGTAAAACCAAATCACCTACAAACATTGAGATGGAAAACTACGTCTTCAGGCGTAATACCTTTGTCTTCACACCGTCAACACACAGTTACATTCTGTAACATCCGGGTCAGTCACTTATGAGTTTATCAAATCAGCATTAATATTAAAAATGCAGTCTAATAAACATGCAAAATGATTGCTAAAATAGTGCTTTATTTACCTTTAATTTTTTGTGCAAAACATCATTCCAGGAAATATCAGAAAACCAAGGATGTTTTAATATCTCATGGATATCATTCTGTAAAAATAATAAATACAAAGAAGGCAGTGAATAGTGCTATTATGTGGTTAGTTTTATATGATTACTCAAGAGTGCTGAATTACATTAGCTAATTCAAAACGACGATTAGTAATGTATCTAACTGATAAGTTGGTAAAAGACACTTTTTAATTGTTTACCTATCCACTATTTTTACATTGAAACATATTCCCTGTACTTCCTGGCTTACAAACTATACGATGCTTTAAAGTTAATTTATATAACGACAGTATTAACCTAATTCTGAGTTCACTTCAACCTCAGTTCGAGTTACAGAGTTTAAACAGTGAACAGATACGATGAGGGTTTTAGTTTTCTATAAGAATGCGCGGAGTTGTATTAAAAAACTGTCTTCATATTAAGACTGAGTTAATTAACTGATTCGCAATGCACCGGTTAATGAGCATAGGTAAAAAATCATAATTTTAATTAAATTAAAAGTTGAAAATACTCTGTTATATAACATTTAATTAGTTAAATCCGATGCGTCCAGACAACAGAATAATATCAACAAATTTTGATGTGGTTGCGTTCTCTGAGCTGGATAGTTAATTTGCGAAGCTTTCATTGCCTGAGCTACAAATCTTCTCCATAATATCAACAAATGAAATTTATTCAAATGTATAATTAAACTGTAACAAACCGAAGGAAAAATATATAAATTCTACAAGAAATTATGTTTCTGGTTTATCTTGTTTGCAATTATTTCAGCAACAAGGCACTACTGTCACTGAATGTTATAAACAGTATATCCCAGAATATCTTGATAGTTACTGATGTGCATTAATACACCTTCCAGTAAAATCTCTAAGCTGAGTGTAACGAAATCATATTGTTGTAGAGTTCAGAATTAAACATTTCGAGTCATTTAGCTAATGAGTTTTGATAACTTATAATAGTAGCCATAATGAAAACTCCCAGTTTACTTCTTTGTAATACTTTTTTTATTTCCACATTTCCATTTGAGGGGATTCGACTGGTTTTAGGCTAAACCACCCTTTTAACTCGTAGAGTATTTACGAGATCTTAACGATTATGATTAACTGAAGTACATAGAAGTTAGAAAACATTTGGGCATTGGGTATATGATATTCATTATAATAAAGGTTTTCCTTTATTTCCCAATGAATGAAAAACAAAACGATATTGTTTTTCATTCATTTGAAAATACAAGAAAACCTTTATTACATAGAAGTTACTTAAATCTCACTGCTTTTTAAAAAAAACTATAGGATTATTATCAGTCTGTTTGAATGGCTTTTAAAACATCTTTCGGCAATGTTTTAAAACAATTATATTTCAGCTGAGTAATCCAAGGGAAGATTCACTTATTTTCTTTGCTACAAATATGGAAAGCAAGTCAAAAAGCTATATGCTAAAAAATACAAATTCTGTACACCAAAACTCAAACAGTAAACAAGAATCAACATAAAAATGAGGACCGATTATCTGTTTCTAGGCTAAGTAAAATATCACAGTAAGTGACATTTTTTATTTTTATCATGAATAGTGTGTTGCTTACTTTAGAGCCACCCAATCTTTCGTTAAGATCTACGCGTAGAAATCCTCTGACGATATCTCTATAATTCATTAGTGAAAATAATCCGGAAAAAAACGAAGGAAATTTAGTTTGTAAAATAAACGAAAAGATTATGAAGTGTACACCGATACTCATTGGATTAAAATGCATAAATTAGTAGGCCAGCAGAATGTCATTCCTTGCCTTCATAATTTAAGAAACACTGAATCGATTTATTGACATGCAACTCTGAGTAAATATTTGATAAACCGTTAAGAAGACAGCTTAGGGCGGTCATTTCAAATATTTGTGTGTTATTAGATTACGACAGCGTTTTTTCAGAAAGAAAAGTATTCCTAATCCACTGGGTTGTCTGACTTTTCAAACTCTTGAAAATTCACGTATCTCTAGCTAAAAGGTTATGTGAATCTTCGTATCAGAGCTTTGGATTCAAAAATAATACAGTCAGAAGTTAGTCTAAAATAACCTCCTACAGAAGCTCAGATTTTCCCTAAAGAGTATTTTGCCTCTGGTGTTTATTTGCTCTGCTTGTAATCACAATCTGACCATTTTTCGTTTAATTTGTTTTTAGTTAGACTTCTAATGTCATCTAATTTTTCGTTTTCTTTAGATTAATAGGTCGATTTAAATTACGTGATTACTAACAGAGATTGTCCAAATGATGTTGGATTTCGTTCACTTCATAACATTTTCTGTTCTAAACACTTAACGTTCATATGTCACTACCTTGAAGTACAATATTACTTTCCCTAGTTTATTTATTGTACACATGTGATCAATGACCATTATTTCTCTGATACTCGTAAACTCTCACACTTATTAGTAAGTTAATTATCTCCATGTATGATTCCTAATTCATTTTACTCGATTGTTTTAAGTCTTGCCACGACACATCTTACACCAGTGTATTATACGGAGGCCAGCACATCAGCGAAAGTCTGTTAAAACATTCTATCAGCATGACGAAATGTAGCTGATGATTTATCTGACTGACAAGTCATTATTTACAAAACTTATATTCTGGATGATGGATTATCCAGCTATCCTAGAGCCGTACATAACAATCAACTGGAATCAGTGCTTAAATAACTTGATTCTGCAGAATGCATCAAGAAATTTATCAAGAACTGAAATCGCTAGAGTAACAAATAAAAAGAAACAAACGGTGTGTATTTGTTTCGTCACACCTTAAATCATCTTAGATTGGCAAAGGCATAAAATCATGAAACACTATTTTTCTCTGTTCTGTTGTATTTTAAGCTCAAAGTGTGATAGTTCAGAACTTTATCATTTTGACAGTCGTGGGTTCAGACTTCTCTGGGGTCCGTAACCAAAAACACATAGCTACCCAGTTCTTGTTGATCTATATTCGTTTCACAAAAGTTTTCATTTTCTGACTTAATCTATCTCAAAAAGAAAGTTAACGTGAAACAATTTTGACTTACTTAGCATCTTCATCTTCTATTTCACTGGGAAACTCAAAGTCACCAGTTATTATTTTCTGATATATGTGCAATCGGTTATCATCCTCATCGTAGAACGGTGGACGACTATAATGAATACATCATAATAATTTTTTATTTATCACAATCAGAAGAATTGGAGAAGGCGATTACATATTAAAAAAGTGAATGAAAAAAGCAAAGGATTAATGAAGAAGGCTATAAATTAACACAAAGTTTTATCGGAAGTGAGAGATACTTAAAGAGCTGACTGAATTATCAGCTTATATCAATATACTTTTCAGTACTGAATAAAGATTTATCGAGACAAGTACATAATAATAGTGACATTCACATGAAATAGATATGTCTGTTACTAAAGAAAACAATCTAAACAGCATCTTACAAAAAAACAATGTCATAAGTGATGTTATTGCAAATATCACTCACTGAAAAGTTGAAATACAGTAGCATGTGACAACGGTTTGTTTGCTGTTTGTTTCAGAAGCGCATGATGTTGATTTAATGATCATCAGTTATCGTATTAATGCACACAAAAAGTAAACGATTGAAAATTAATTGATCTGAGAATAATTACAGACATGACTTTGAATGTAAGTATTATTACATTTACCTATTAAAATGACACTTCGTACTGGTAAATTTCTCAGTCCCTTTGTTTCACAATAATCTGCTTTATCTTCATTTTCAATGACACCGGCTAGTGGTTATTTGTTTTATATCAGAACCCCTGGTATTGTCATTTTTAATATGACATGAAACACTGCAGAACCGTGTTACATAACCTTGTTGATAAATGTTGTTACATTGTTAAACAAATCACAGACTTTGATAGATCCATTTAACCTAAGACGTACATTGTTTTCCAGCTTGGGTATTATTCATCCTTATATGTGATGGTGTTTTTGCAGCACACATAAGTGTCATTCTGGAAACTCCAACTTTAAAGAACCTGCGCCGCATCACTAAATCACATATCGACTCATCTCAGAGATACATCACCGCTTTAAGGTCAGATCTAGTGAAATTCAACAGTCTACTGGAAAGCCTTAATTTGGTGTGTCGTATAAAGTTCATCAACTTCATACAAGATTTACAATCACAAACAGCCAACTCATATGGAAAGAAGCTCAGAAAATCTTTAGTAGTTGAACAACTACAAGAAGAATTTCCACAGTGCCCAGAAAAATACATATACAATTTATCAGATGTGAAACTTAATAAAATCGAAACTGAAGCTCTGTCCTTAGGATTTAAGTACCACGTACCAAACCCGTTTATAAACAGAATCAATACACAAACGCAGTTTGAGTATTTATACAGTCAACTTTCCGACCTTAAACCCATAGACGACGATAAAAGAGTCTGGTTTAAGTCCAAAATGATCGATATTGCAGAACAATATCAGATCTCTCCTCCAGCACACTCAAAATTATTTACTAAAGAACACAGAACAGCAATAAAAAACCTACGAAATAATGAAAACATCGTCATTCTCAAACCAGACAAAGGCTCAGGTGTCGTAATAATGAACCGCCGAGACTACATCTCAAAAATGAAAACCATTCTCGATGATCCAATAAGATTTCAAGTCGATACGTCCAAAAAAGAAGCAACAGGGGCCTTCGAAAATAAAGTAAGCAAGCACCTCAAAGGACTACTTAAAGAAGGGCTAATAGACAACAGCACTTACAACGACCTTAAACCAAGGGGTTCGCGTGTACCATTTATGTACGGTCAACCCAAAGTCCACAAAAGTGATGTACCATTGAGACCTATAATATCAATGGTGAAATCACTATGCCATAAACTGGCCAGATGGTTGGCCCAAAAGCTGGAACCCATTCGACAAAAGCTGGCAGCTCACAGTATCAAAGATTCCTTCCAGTTTTCACGAGAATTAGATCAACTCAATATTTCAGATAGACTTCTCGTGTCATACGACGTTTGTTCACTGTTTACCAGCATACCCATCGAAGAAACAGTAAGAATCATATGCCAGCAGTCCGAACTGCTCCCTCTTCCAGAAAATGAGCTACGCAAATTGTTATTTCTATGTACAAAGAATATTCAATTCCGATTCAACAATCAGCTGTACCGGCAGATTGACGGGGTGGCTATGGGTTCACCTCTGGGTCCTGTTCTTGCTGACATATTCATGGCTCATCTTGAACAGACTCAAATGAAAGAGGAAATAGAAAGAACCACCTATTACTGCAGATATGTCGACGACACGTTTGTGGTCTGCAATGATATAGAACACGCATCCACAATGTTTGAGAAACTCAACGCGGCCCATCCCAACATTGCATTCACAATTGACTACGAAAGAAACAACCAGTTCCATTTCCTAGATGTCAACATAAAAAGAAGAAACGATGGGACAATCCAAAAATCTGTCTACAGGAAAGAAACCTGGACTGGTCAATACCTACATTATCATAGCTTTTGCCCAACCAGTTACAAACGATGTCTAGTAAAAACGCTCTTCAGCAGAGCCAAAGAAATATGTTCAGAAGACAAGATTGAAGAAGAACTTGAGATCATCGAAAAGAACCTTATCGAGAATGGATATCCTCGAAAGTTCATATTAAAATATAGAAATGAGGAAGTACACAAACCAAAACCCGACACCGTTGAAAAGAAACCAGTTTACATCTGTCTAGCGTACAAAGGGGAAGACGTATCTACAAGAACACAAAAAAGAATCACAGGTGCATTGAAAAGAACGTTCCCAGCCGCCAGACTGATCCTACTTCACAACACTGTGTGCTCGTTAACCCAGTCAAAAGTAGATGAGTTCCCTACTCACGTCAACTCCAACTGCATTTACCAATTCACGTGCACCTGCGGTAGCAAGTACATAGGAAGGACTGAGAGGACAGCATCTACTAGATTTTCCGAGCACATTCCTAAGAGTCTCCGTACAAAAGGAAGAAAAGTGTTAACAAGTGCAATCGCCAGACATCTAATCGACACAGGACACACAGTAGAAATCAGCCAAGCCTTCAAAATAATCAATACACAAAGAAACCCACGGCTACTTCGCTTCGCAGAAGCCATTGCTATCAAGAGATTTCGACCAGACCTTTGTATACAGAAAGATAGTGTGATTAATCTTTCACTACCTTGGTAACCCTAACTCTATTTTATTTTTGTTTTGCCTTTCTGTCAGTATACCTGTGTGTTTGTCTTGTTACGTAACATTCTATTCAATTTTGACCTTCAAGTTTCTAAATCTACTTAATTGTTTGTGTGTTTAAGTTATAAATGTTACTTCACTATTCACCCCCACCCTCTTAAACTCTCCACCACAATATGTGTAAATTTACTTTGTTCTCTGACCCTGACCCTGTAATATGCCTCTAACCAATCTGTGTTGTTTTCCAATAGAAATCTGAACTCTTACCCCTCTTTCCCTTTTGTCTTCTGAATGGTTAGATGGGACTTTTGACGAAGATTAAATGTTGACTCCAATATATAAAACTGTTCCTCATTCATTAGCGTTTTATGAGTGGTAAGGCTGTGAAGGCTCATATTTTGAGCATTCTAATACCCAAAAAAATTACCCATGAATAAATGCGGCTTAAAGTTAAATCTTTTTAACCTACCAGTATTCATTAATTATAATTATTTTAAGTACGCCAACATACATCAAATAATTACAACGTACCCAACAAGCATTTCATAAATAATAATTCCTGTAGCCCACCAATCAGCCGCTTGATTATGTCCTTTTCCCTGAAGAATTTCCGGTGCCAAATATTCAGGTGTACCGCATAGGGAATACGTGCTAAAAATAGAAGACTAGTATGAATCTCAACTATAAGTTATTTGACTGATGGCATTTATTAATAAAGTATTGCAAAGTATATATATGATATGACATGTGTTAATTGCAGAAAATACTGCACAATTCCTCGTACTTTGATTCACAGAACACATTTTCACCAAAAAGATAACCGCTCTTCTTAACAAAAGTAAATGATTCAATGTGTTGTACAGACAAAAAAGTTATCTGTGTGAAATAACTAGTAGGTACAGTATTAAGTACACCTCAGTGTTCAAAATGTGATCACACCAAAAAAATACAAATTAGACGATTACCTATACACATAAAACAAAGAGCAAAGTGTGTTTGCTGCCTAATTAATATGACTGTGAAGTTTGTTTTGCATCAGGAAATGCAGTCGCTCTTCTACCGTCTTTAAATATAAGACGTACAAAATAATTAAATGGAGTCAAATTTTTCTGGAGGCAAATCTTTGAAGTTCATTACCATGTGAAAGCTAATGAACAGGTACACGGAAAATTCCCTCCACACTTCATGACTAAATTATTCTTTTACTTAGGATTATTTCCATCAAATTTTAAATATTTGTTTTAGCTGTGTAGACTCAAACCAATAAAATTGGTAAATATCACATTTTGAATATATCTCCACTATACAGCTGAAAATATATGACATGGTAGTGCTTCTTTGCTCAAACAAATTTACTTTAGACAAAGCTTGAAGATGATTCCCTATAAAGTAAAATCGATAAATCTTTGTAAAATACTAAGTAAACGAAAACTGTCTCTGATATACTTTTAGAGGACCAATACCACGAAGCACGCGGAAAACTGTTAATAGATACTCTCATCTGAATTTGATTAGTAATAGAAATTATTACATTTTACGGTCCAGTTGTATGATATGTTTGCTTATTTGATTGAGTGATCAACTTCTACATAGTGAATAACCAGTGTGAATGTATTTCACGGAAATTCATCAAGAATTTCATAATTTTTGAGTGGTTACCAAATTGCACTGTAGTATCCAGATAAATTATCTACAAGCTTTTTCTCAGTTAAAAAAGTACTCAACAGAAGTCACAAATCAACAACAGATAAATTTAAATGAAATCTATTCATTATTTTAAAAACTATCCCCAGTTGCCTTTATGATATGTGTACATTGCGTATTCTTTCTATTTAGTTGGCATAAACAAAAACTTACCGGTCCTTAACATGCTTCGCAAACCCAAAATCAGTCATCTTCAAATGGCCAGAAGAATCCAGAAGAAGATTTTCTGGTTTTAGATCCCGATAAACAATTTGTAAACTTGACAAACAAAAAGAGAAAATAATGGAGCAAATTTGATGTTATTTAAACATTAATGTCGTTCATAAGACTAATTCATTCATTCATTATAATGTATATATAATTGTAGAACCTGATGATGAATTTATCGAAAATAGTTCTCTTTGTTCCGCGTCTATTCTTTGGAAAATTTTAATGGGCATTTTTAATCAATTAAAATTTGTAAATCCTGATTTCATAGTCCAGATATAAATTCACGTAGTTCTAATACAGAATAGTTTTCATGAAATACAACATGTAGTAGACTTTTCCATTGTAGTACTCACTATTTCAGACCCTTATTGGTTTTCAAAAGAATTTTACGCTTGTAGGCGTAAGGTGAACAAATCTGTTCGGATTTATATATTTCCTGATTTATGTTACCTTATCAGAAAGGTTCTGTTCAGAAGGCACTTTAGTTATTCTTTTAACATAGATGTATTTAAGTTTAATGACTACAAACAACTTTTAAAGACAATCGAAAGACCACTGAAATGAATCCTGTCACTGTTGAGCTTTTTATCCAGAATGATTATTTCTAATTAAAAGTATCAGATAGATAGTTGAGGAAACTAATGGTAAGTCTTTAAATTGTGCAAGAAGTGATTCCGTTGTTTACTTGACAATTTTCCAATGTATAAAGGACATTATGTTAAATGAAGATGAAATACTTCTGAAAATCAAAGTGAAAATAATGAAATCCACTTTACATCATAGGATTATTCGGATTTATAGAGGGTTTAGGTCATCTAGTTGAGTCATTCTATTTTCTTGTTTTATTCTAGTTACCTCTTAAAATAGATAAATAGTAGGTAGAATATTTCTGCTTTCATTGGCTAAATTAAATTTAAATTTCAAATTAAGTACTGTTCACGAAATCTGCCAGTTAGTAATTTCATCAAAATGTTGCTGACTATTACATGTCATCAGTCGAAGACATAACAAATTGCTTTTTACAGCTGTGAAAAATTAGTATAGTGGCCTTGTTTCAAAAAGTGGAAAACTGAAACAAATCCAAAAAACCATAAATTATCTTCAAGAAAATGAATGTATAAAAAAGGAAGTTCTGGTTGTCCAAGAGCACTAATGAGTCTGAAATCAATTTTTAGGTCAAGGAGGCAGCTAATGAGACAACAGCGAAAAATTATCAGTTATTGGAATGCTTCTCACCCTTCATCACGATTCTACAGAACTACTGATCCATTGCCCGACATAATCGGGAGACCATGTGATGAGTACGCCCCTATTCATCCACCGAAGCGGAATCTAACAAAACTCGCTTTCTAAACTCTATCAGTTAAAAATATAAGTGACTTTAGGAATAATTAGTTTTTTTTGAGAATTTAACCATCGAATAAACACAATGTAGTAGACATTAGCAACCGACGTCAAAATTGGTTTTCATGCAGCTGTAACATGACCTTTTTGAACACATACTCATCATGTAACAGTGATACCTTATTCTCCTAAAAGATATGGATATTATATACAGGATTAAGATATGACAGTTGAAATATAAAGTGCTTATCGATCGGTTATGAGGCTCTTCACTCCTCATAGGAATTTCTAATGAGTCACAGAGAAAAACTGAACACGCATTGAATTCATCTTGATTTCCAGAGATTTAGAATTTATGTCAGAACCTTCTTGATTTCTAATGCCTGAGTTTCGTAACTTAATACTGTTTGAGAAATAATGAGGATAGAAAAAGACATTTAATGAGGTATTTATGCAAAGGGAAAAAAAGCTTCTGCTTATAATCATATTTTCAGTCTAATGTAAAATTTTGACTGCTCAGTCAGTTTGATAAGAAACGCAAAAGAGAATAATGCACCACCCTGAAAGCATGTTTAATATTACTTTATTTTTATTATTGGAAAGTAATTGCTTTTTGTTTGAAAAGCTTAAGTGAGTGTAGTGTTATGACGAATTCATGCAATTAGTCTCTCGCCTATTTTGTCTAGGCATTCACTGAAAGCATGGTTATATGAGGATACAGATAACTGACAAAAAATCACGTGCTAGTTATAGCTTAAGTATACAAATTCATCGGGTTAACTAGTTAGGAAAATATTGAGAAATTCAGTACAGGATACATTGAAAATAGTCTTTTCATAATTTCACTTAGAATATTTTTTAAGTCTAAAATGTTTAACCTACTGAATTATTGCATATAAGGCTAATTATGCTCAAAACGGTCATTGTTACCAGCAAGTAAAGCATGTCATTATTGTTTTAAAAAATAAAGCATTAGTGATTCGGTTCCGACTTGTTTCAAAAGTAGATGAAACCATGCTGACAGCAGAGTCCTGTAACTGAAGAACTGAAAAATTGTGCTACTTACATTTTTATGTGAGGAGATATGATTCATTACAAAAGAAATTTCATTCTGTCTGGCTTAGTTTATCGTCGGGTGATTATTTGTCAGCTGATTTGCTATCCGGGGTTTATTCCTCTCGTAAAACTAATGCTTTCACTCAGTCTTGTGGACAGCAGTTTAAAATATCAATATGAGATTCTGCACACAAGTCATCATCACAAAAACAAAAGTAATCGAAGCAAATATATTCCCCGGTTATACAATACAGACACTCCAGAAACATCCTTAAAGTATTACTAGTGAACTCTTCTGCCCTATGGTAAAGATGATGAGATTTAGGTCTCATTCAAGCAGCACTTATTCATCTTAGTTCCATTTTTCGCTTTCGTGAATGGAATTCACTTTACAACCTCAAAAAAACTGCATACTTGAATATTTGATTTATCCTCTGATAAATTTCAATGAAATGCCTGACTTCGAGGTAGTAATTTAATTTATTTGGTGGAATATTTTTCTTAACGAACCAACAAAACTGTAGTGAGGCTTGCAACGACAATTATTGAACAATTAGAAATAGCACTGCTGTCGGCAACAACTTTAATTTTATCAGGACAGGTAGAAGGAAATCACTATTAAAAGCTTTCAGTTTATTTTACAGAAACAAAGATTATAACAATAGAAGACAAGGGCCAGGCAACAGGTCGTTTATTAAGGAAAATCAAAACATATTTATAGATTTTAATGTACATTATTGTAGATTATTGTTAGTAGAAAATGCAGCCTTTTGATTGGTTGTTTCTCACAGAAAGTTGACCTTGCATCTCTTTGTGGCTGTGTCAGATCATCTATATGCTAACTGTATCCGCCTACGCAAAGCCTTTCTTCTCATTTTCTCACCACCAATATTGGGGACATAAACATTGACGTCAATTACTGTCCACCAACTTTGGCTAGCAGCCAGCTCTCACCACAAGATTACCGAAAACACAAATTAAGCAAATAAGTATTTTCGGTGGTTTCTGGCTAGGCTTTATCTTTGCGTCATATAGATCATGAAATGAATAGAGGTTTTCAGCTTTCTTTTCCTAGTCAGGATATATTGGTTTTTATTATATTATTATTATTGTTTCCTTTAATTCCTAGAGAAACATAGGGCTTCAGCCGTGCGTCTCCATTGCGTTCGGTTCTCTGCTACAGTCTTCACCTGGCTCCATGTCTGCCCACACGTCTTCATCCCCTCTTCACATGACCTTCTCCAAGTCACCCTTGGACGACCAACTCGCCGCTTCCCTTTCGGGTTCCACTCGAGCAATGGCTTGTCTAGTGATGTCACTTGATGGTTTCCTCAGAGTATGGCCAATCCATCTCCGTTTCTAGATATGATAGGGAAGATTTGTAGCTCAGGTGGATAATTTTGATGTTGTTGTGTTCTCTGAGCTGGAGAGTTAATTTGCGAAAGCTTCGCAAACTAACTCTCCAGCTCAGAGAACACAACAACATCATTTCCGTTTCTTCCTGCCTATTTGTTTCACAATTGGTTCCTGGTTGGTTCGTTTATTGTCAGAGATCTCTGCTGCTAATCGTTTCTGGCCATCTGATCTTGAGTATTGAGCGAAGACAACTGTTATTGAAGGTCTGTAGTTTGTTTGAGATACTCTTTATGACGCGCCAAGTCTCTGATACGTATAGTAGCACTGGCTTCACATTGGAGTTGAAAATCCGGATGTTATTTCTGATGCTGAGTGCTGTTGACCTCCACACAGACTTGAGAGTAGTGAAAGCTTGTCTTGCTTTTCCTATTCTTGCTTTGATATCCTCACCAGTTCCGTCTGCCTGTAGTTGAAACGATGCTTCCCAGATAGGTTAAAGAGGTTGTTTCTTTCAGGTTCCTCCCATTTATGCTGACCGTTGTCTGTTGTTGTTGTTGTTGCTGTTGCTGGTGTTGGCCAGGAATCTTCATCACCTCTGTTTTCTCTATGTTCACCTGAACTAATTCCTGTCTTTGATGCTTCTTCTGCCAACTTGTTGCTTTTCACTTGCATATCTTCCAGTTTGTGGGAAATCAGACATATATCATCGGCGAAGTCCAGATCTTCCAAATTTTCTGTGAGTCCATTTTATGCCTGTTTCCTCATTCTCCGCTGTTTGTCGCATTATCCAATCTACTGCAATCAGGAAAATCATTGGCGATAGTAGGCAGCCTTGTCTTACTCCTGTCCTCACTTCGAAGGGTTCTGTAAGTTTCCCGTTGTGGATTACTTGACATGCAGCATTATCGTACAGCTGTTGGATGAGATGTATAATTGTCGGTGGCACCCCGTAGTAGCGAAGTAGTTGCCAAATCACCTCTCGATCGACGCTGTCCGCTGAAGGCCATTTCAAAGTCGATGAAGTTGAGATAGAGAGGTGAATGCCATTCCAAGCTTTGTTCAATGATGATCCGTAATGTGGCGATCTGATCAATGCATGAATTGTTTCTCCTGAATCTAGCCTGTTCCGGTCGAAGTTTTTCATCAAGCGCTTGTTCGATTCTCTCTAGGATGATGCGGCTTAGTATTTTGCTTGGGATAGTTATATTGGATGGTTAGTTCATTGATAATCCCAAGGTAGTTTGTTTTTCTATTTGATAGTGTAATCATGCAACACAAAAATATTGTTACTGATAGCTTTGATTTGAGGAAAGAGAAATTCGCTTACCTGTGCAAATATCTAAGCGCTAAAATAATTTCGCTCGTATAAAATTTTGTAGTTTTTGTTGAGAAATGTCCAACTTCTCGAAGATATTTAAACAGTTCTCCGCCGCAAACATATTCAAACAACATATACAAAAATTTCGCATCATGTCCTGTCCAGTGCCTTGAATTAACAAAAACACAAAAATAAAAAAAACGACTGTATATGTAATGTGTAAAATATAGTAGTGTTTTTCTTTCCAAAAAATACCGACTACGAAATATTTTTAATGCGTGAAATAACCACTGGATTAGATTCAACAGTGTCTTTTTTCGAAAGAATCAATAATACTACCAAGTTCTAGACTGTAGTTCTCATGGAAAAGTTGTGGTTTTCAAGTTCATCTAACTGCAGCTGAGTGGTTGGAAATCAAGGCGATCAGCACAAATCACGGCTATTTTAGTTTTATTCTGATATGACGTCACAGGTGCTTAATTTAGTAGCGCTTTCAGTAAACTTTCTTCAACTTTTGAGGACTGGATTCACAATTAACCGTAGACAGCAGCATACTACAAGTTGGAAAAAATTTGAAGCACTCTTACAATCCAGAATTTTTCACTTCTGGATCTTGTTCACAAACTGCAGAAGAGTTTTCCATAAAACGAAATGTATGAGGACAGAATCCTATTCTATTATTAGATAGAAATGGGATACAAGATCGATTTTGATAGGATCAGGGTTCTACAGAAAAGTTTTGGTTCATAAGAACAAAGACTGACTGCGGAGGGTAACATATATGAGTGAACTCCGAAAGCTTAAACACATGTGATGGTGTGATGTTAGTTAATGCAGAGTAAGTATTGATTATTACATAAAATAGATCTGTATTACTCATGTTCATGCCTAATTTATGCCGATAGCCCGCATCTTCTAGAGTAACATATATTTATGTTTTTCATTATGGATATCGATAAATGAAAAATTGATACAATATTAATTCATAAATGTAATCAACATTAAAGTCGTTTTATTTTACTTTGTTCTGAACATGCTGGTAAATGCTATGCAGTTGTTCACCTACGCACATTATTCAATATTATGTACAGATTTTCCCAGTAAGTGACAGATTACCATAACTTTCATTTGAACATTTTCATCAAAGACTGATATGAAATTACACACACCGTTTACAGTATATGAAAAATAGACATGGTAATAAAGGTACTTCCATTCGCTTTCTGTTACGCTGATCAGCATTCAGAGGCATTTTATGACAGAAAGCAATTTAAAGTGTTACGACACTGACTTCTACGAATTTTCAGATTTCTTTGACAGCTAAAGTTGTCAGTCAGTCACATCAATCTCTAATCTGTTCTCTTGTCATCATTCACTTAGGAGAGGGGGAAAAATTACTTAGAGGGATTCCATCTAGTAACAAAAGAAGAATGCACGCACAGCAAAGAACTGTCTTATCATTTGGCTCAGTGGCTTAACTTCAGACTAGATTGGTAGATTTTGACAGTAGAAATTGACTGACATTCGGCAACTTGACCGGTGAACATATATCAGTCTTATAAAACTTCAGCTTTGACCTGAATAGCATTGTCACTCAGTCAGTTAACGGGATACAAAGAAGGTGTGACTGTAAATGAGACTAGAAATGTACATTGTACAGCTACCGTGCACACCAATTTCATTTCTTCCTTTACAAATTTTAGATATTTTCTAATTTTCCGAGAGGTTCTGGGCAACAACTTGTAGCAGACTAGTTCGCAGAAGAAATTTAGTCTAATACACAGTAATAAATTTATGAGATATTATTCATCTCTGCGGGAAAGAGCTTTAAACTAACCATACTAGTAAAGCATCGATTACACCAGTTTTTGAAGTTTCCCTGTAAAATTACTTTTTTTTCCCTAGAAAATTGATATTCAATGTAAAATGATGTAATATAATTGAATTTATGAAAGTTAATTCCGTTTTGTAGATATTTTACCAGTTAACTGTTGCAGAAGCTTGATAAGAAAGCTACCTGTAAACTTTAGTAGGCTTCTGTTATCCATAAAGATTCATTTTCAGGTAAACAGACCAAAGAAAATAAGAGTAGGTGCTAATCAATGTAAATTCGATACTTATTCATATAAATTAACACCTGCTTATTGAATCATATGAGCATATATACTTAAAGCGCTAAAAGTATTTTTGTTGTAATACTGCTAAGGGTATTGCAACCTCATTTTCGAATACTTGTCACAGCTTCAAAACAGTTGCTGACATTTTTCCTTCTGGGCTTCTAATTAAATTGTTGAATTTATTCTGACTTTTATCATAATTCAGGAATTAATAAAAGCATATATTCTACAGTTTGCTAAACTTGAGAGAGAGAGAGTTCTGGATAACAACTACGTAATACAAAAAGCATTAATAGGGTAGAAACTAAAATACATTTAAATAAGCAAGTTGAATGACGCGATACAATTGACAGGATTGAGGAAAGCTTAGCTAGAATTAAGAGTCAAGTTAAGATCAGTGTCATTTCTATTGATCTCAACTGGATTCCTGTTTGATTTTAGTCGCGTTCTGCTCAATCTCGTCAGCTACATTACGTCACGCAGTTTATTTATTTTATTTTGTTTCATTTTCTATCAGATGAACGCTTTCCTACTATGTAATTTTCATCTATAACCTATAATTTTAATGACATCTTTGAGAACATTCCTGTTGCCGCTAAGAAAAAGTTCCAACACTAAAGTATAACGACCCAAAACAAAATTGCCTAACAGAGACCTTGAGAAACTGCTGTCGACCAGTCACGTGAATCCGAAGTAAAGGAGCGTAATTTAAAAATGTAATGTTAAAAAATAGTTAAATAGGGTAACTCTCCTGTATGTATTGCAAGAAGACCTCCCAAATTCTCATTGGAGTCCTCATAGATAAGTCAAACCAGTTTATATCCATATATTCATCCATCCTCATTTTTCTTGCCCCATTAAGTGCTCTACCCTCTTTTTAAAATAACTCTATAAACTCTCAGTGGAACTTGTGTGAGTCCTATCGAAAGGATTAACAAAACTGAACGGCTTTTCTGCTACGGCAGTCTGGGCGTATGTACACAAAACCATCAATAGATGGTATGTATGTCTGTAAATGCGTTACTCCTTCACATACACACGTCGTCTCCTTTTATATTAGCGTGTTATCCAAACAGTACTTAAATACTAGATTTGAATGAAACCTGCCAAGTAATTCGTGTACGGCATCCGTAATTCGACCTATTTACTGCGGACTAACTTCAATGGTTGCTCAAGCTTATTACATTCATTTATTAGGTAGTTTCTTTTTGGGTCAGTATACTTTAGAGTTACCGAAAACATTTTACTGTAAAAATTATCTTTTCATTTATACAACTCAATGGGGATTTCTAAGTCAGTGTTTTTTGTTTAGTATTTTAATTAATTTGAATCTTATTGATATAGATTTAGGATTTCTGTTCTTAAAGTATTATCTGCATTCATTAATTCTTCATCTCTATCATTCTATGTTTTATTTAGCTTCTCCCAAACACGATGAATGCTTTTACTTCAATACAATCACTTGAATTAGCATTCTGTCATTAGGGTACATATATTACTGATATTTACAATTTCATTACATTCAGCTTTATTAACTATATATTGACTTGACAAGTAAATGTGTGATCAGATTGTTCGAAATGTATAGCGCTAATACATCACATTTTTCAGATAATCTCCGTCTTCTAATAATGCTATCAAAATTTATTAACTAATTTTTATTTTTATTTTAGCCATAGACTGACAAGTCAGTATATCACCACAAAGTGTTCTCAAAGGAATTAAAATATTCTTTCTGAAACTAAATACACATGATGAAGAAAAATTAAGTAGTGAAAAAGAAAGAAAGAAAAAGGAAGGGAAAGATAATACATAAGCAACTAGCCAGTTGAATACTTATTTTGCACTGATGATATTATTTAAATACAGTCTTTATTCAGTAAATACTCTGTTTAATCACCAGCTGATCGGCTTGATGGTTAACAAATATGACTAGGTGCAAAGATATTCGATTTTTCCTTTTATCAGACAAAACAACGCAAAGTATTTTGTCGGGACAGTTATAAAACCAGTGTAATATTATCCATCAGTAGCCTTTCTCAACTTCAATTCAAAACTGTACACTTATATAGTGTTGTAAAAGATTTAGCGAGTTGTCTGTAAGGTCCTTTATTCATATCAGTCGGTAGCAAAAAACATGAATTTAAACAGCAAACAAAATAATAAATTACTTAATCGAAAAGCAGTAAATTATGAGCATTGTTGAGAAATAACTAACATCAGAAATTAAAAATTTATAAAGTTTGAAAGGAAGAGACAAGATGAAGACAAAAACCAAATGAAAGTGGATTAAATGTCAAATTACTGTACGAATTGAAAAAATAAATTTTAAGGCCACGGTAGTAAAAGGGATTGTATAAACCGTCCCTCTATATACCGTTCTGTCCACAGCAGAAGCACCTGTAAATTTTTCATTTTGCAATTCTAATAGTAATCATTTCTGAGTAACGCTCATCATTTACTGCTTTTAGATTGCATAATTCACTATTTTGCATGCTATGTAAATTTATGTCTTGTCACTGACTGATATGAACAGTTAACCCAATGGGCAACTCCCTGACCTTTTACAATGCTATGTAACCGTACAGTTCTGAAGTGAAGTTACGAAAAGAATATTCTTTGCCGACCTGTCTTTTTGATTTATGTCATATGTGTATTTTTAATGAGAAATCGTCCTCTGAATAGGTAGGTTTAAGTGATTTCCGTCAATTCATTAATGTCAATCCTTTTTAGCCCGTTCCAGAAGACAGTATTTGAAGAAAGAAAAATAAATCATTCTGATATGCCCAGTTACACAGGCGGAAATCATAAGTACCAATAAATAACAACTGGTAACTAAAAGATTTTAAAGAATCAACTTCTAGACTGCTAAGGTATAAAATCCACCTATTGTACAACAGGTCCAGGCTTTAACATTTGTAAATACAAGTTGGGGATTTTTACCTCTGCAAAACATCATTTTCATACTTTTAATCTATTGTAAAGTTAATTCATAAAATCAGTCAGACTTAGTCAAACGAAGTGGAAAGGAATTGATGCATCTGTTCTATA